ATTTTGGGCATAGAGAAGCCAGTGCCTGTGGGAGTCAAGTGAAGAAGGGAGAGAATTGCTGCACCTGGCATAGACAGGCAGGGAGTGGCTTTTGTATAACATGTAAAGCCCAGCACCACCTGTGTAATGGGAGAAAGCTGGGACAGGAGCTGCAGGTGCTTTCAATAAAAGCTTACAGTCAGGTGGTTTAAGGAGGGACCTCTAGCTGTATCATCTGAAGAAGTGGGCTGTGCCCACAAAAGCTCATGATACCATCTATGTGTTTTGTTAGTTTTTAAAATCTACCAGACTATGTTATTTTTTAAGTTTATCTTGTACAGACTAACTTGGCTACCCCCTGAATCTATTAAGCCTATAGCCAGTTGAGGTAAGGTCAAAATGTGTGCAGGAGCAAGATGTGAGCTGAGTGCCTAGAGACAGCTGGGAGGAAGGGCAGAAGCCAGTTTTGTGTGAAGGGAAGGTGGATATAAGGAGCTGGTCACTGAGGGTATGTCTACACAGCAAAGTTATTTAGAAATAACAGCCATTATTTTGAAATAACTTTCCTAGCAGCTACACAGCCAAACTGCTATTTCGAAATTAATTTGAAATATCAGAGTGCTTATTTCGAATTTGGTAAACCTCATTCCACGAGGAATAATGCCAAATTCGAAATAGCTGAATCAAAATAAGCACTGTGTAGATGCTTATTTCAAAATAGGGGGTCTCCAGCCCTTCCTAGGGTACCCTGGTGGCCACTCTGGGCCAACCAGGAAAACTCTTCTGCTCCTCCCCCCCATCCAGCCCCGGAGCCCTTAAAGGGGTAGACTCTGACCACAGTGCCTATGCCAGCTGCAAGCCTGCCACCATAGAGCCATCAGTCCGTGCACCTGGCACAGCATGAGCCAGCAACCCACTGGCAGCCAGCCCTCCACCGCTCCCAGGAGCAGGCTGGCAGCTCCCAGGAGCCTGCCAAGGGCCGCAAAAGGCGGGCGCCTTCCTGACCTAGTGCGGAGATCGTGGACCTCATTGAGGTTTGGGGGGAGGCCTCCAACATCCACGATAGCCGCACTAAATGCAGGAACGTGGTCATCTACAGGCGGATGTCTGACAGCCTGGCCACCAAAGGCCACATGCGCACCCAGGAGCAGGTGCACATGAAAATCAGAGAGCTGTGGCAGGCCTATGCCAGGGCCTCAGGGGGCAGCTCCCTACCAGGGGCTGACCCAGATCCCTCCCCCTGTTATAATGCCCTGGACCTCATCCTGGGGGGTCAGACGGTCTATGCCCCCCAGGTGGTCATCGATCCTGGGGCAGAGGGCACTGCCCATGACACCGAGGAGGAGGAGGAGGGTGGCCAGGAGCTGCAGGATCCTGGAGGGAGTGTGCGCCGCACCCAGGACCCCCGAGCTGGGTAATTTATTCCAGTGTTTAACTACCCTGACAGTTAGGAAGTTTTTCCTAATGTCCAACCTAAACCTCCCTTGTTGCAGTTTAAGCCCATTGCTTCTTGTTCTATCCTCAGAGGCCAAGATGAACAAGTTTTCTCCCTCCTCTTTATGACACCCTTTTAGATACCTGAAAACATCTATCATGTCCCCTCTCAGTCTTCTCTTTTCTAAACTAAACAAACCCAATTCTTTCAGCCTTCCTTCACAGGTCATGTTCTCTAGACCTTTAATCATTCTCGTTGCTCTTCTCTGGTCCCTCTCCAATTTCTCCACATCTTTCTTGAAATGTGGTGCCCAGAATTGGACACAATACTCCAACTGAGGCCTAACTAGGGCAGAGTAGAGAGGAAGAATGACTCTCTCGTGTCTTGCTCACAACACACCTGTTATTGCATCCCAGAATCATGTTTGCTTTTTTTACATCAGCATCACACTGCTGACTCATATTTAGCTTGTGGTCCACTATAATCACTAGATCCCTTTCTGCTGTACTCCTTCCTAGACAGTCGCTTTCCATTCTGTATTGTGTGAAACTGATTGTTCCTTCCTAAGTGGAGCACTTTGCATTTGTCTTTATTAAACTTCATCCTGTTTACCTCAGACCATTTCTCCAATTTGTCCAGATCATTTTGAATTATGACCCTATTCTCCAGATTAGTCGCAACCCCTCCCAGCTTGGTATCATCTGCAAATGTAATAAGCGTACTTTCTATGCCAATATCTAAATCGTTGATGAAGATATTGAAGAGAGCCGGTCCCAAAACAGACCCCTGTGGAATCCCACTTGTTATACCTTTCCAAAAGGATTGTGAACCATTAATAACTACTCTCTGAGTATGGTTATCCAGCTAGTTATGCACCCACCTTATAGTAGCCCCATCTAAATTGTATTTGCCTAGTTTATTGATAAGAATATCATATGAGACCATATCAAATGCCTTACTAAAGTCTAGGTATACCACATCCACCACTTCTCCTTTATCCACAAGACTCGTTATCCTATCAAAGAAAGCTAGCAAGTGCCGCACACAACACGCTGCCACCATGTGCGGAATATTCTGCTCGGATAGGTCCAGATGGGTGAGGAGGCATTTAAAATGGGTCTTCAACTGGCCGAACGCCCTCTCCACCATGATGTGGGCCCTGCCGATCTTGGCATTAAAGACCTGTCAGGAGGGGTTGAGGTGTCCCGTGTAGGCTTCATCAGCCAGGGCTTTAGGGGGCAGGCCACATCTCCCACCAGGCACACAGGCACATCCACATCTCCAACCCTGATGTGGCGGTCAGGGAAGAAAGTCCCGGCATGCAGCCTTTGGCACAGGGAGGAGTTGCGGTAAACCCGCGTGACATGTCCTTTGCCAGACCAGCCCATGTTAATGTGTATGAACTGGCCCTGGTGGTCAGACACAGCCTGCAGGATGACTGAGAAGTATCCCGTCCAGTTGATATATAGGGAGGCCTGGTGGTCTGGGGCATGGATGGGGATGTGTGTCCCTTCATTCCCCCCTCCCCCGCAGTTGGGGAAGCCCCTCGATCACTGAGTCCACATCAGTGAGGTGGATGACTCTGCAAAGCAGCACTCTGTTGATGGCCTGCAGAGGGACACACAAAACCACCAAGAGTCACTGGGGTGCCAGGGTGGCTGAGAGTGCTTCTTCCCTGCCACTGCCCCATGCCCCCACTCTGAGGAGCAACCCCTCCCCCTGCAATCCTGGCCACCGCGGGCAGTCCATAGTGCAGATGGGACAGACCAAACCCTCCCGTGGAGGGGACTTGTACCTCTTCCCACCCTTTTCCCTAGGGCAGCCAATCCCCTCCTCACACACACCCCTCCTGGCACAGTAGCTGGAGATTGCCATACCTGCCTGAGCACCACTCCAGTGGTGGATCTCCCCATGCCGAACTAGTTCGTCACGGATCGGTAGCTATCTGGCGTGAAGAGCTTCCAGAGGGCGATGGCCACATGTGTCCCGTCGCCACAGAGCAGGGGCAAGCCACTCACAGAGCTCGAGGAAGGTGTCCTTCATCCTGAAGTTCTGGGTCCATTGTTGGTCTCCCCAGAGCTCCAGGACAATGTGGTCCCACCAGTCGCTGCTGGTGTCCAGATGCTAGATGCGGTGGGGCACGCTGGCATCTGGGAACTGCAGCTGCTCCTCCCAGTCCCTCAGGAGAGTCCAGAGGACGGCGTGGGGGTCAGGCTGCTGCAGATGCTGTGAGGCATCCTGCAGAAGAGCAGCCAGGCTTGCAGCAACGCATCCAAAAGAAGCACCAGAGTGCCCAAGGGCAGCTCCGGCTCCATGTTGCAGAGTGCTGTGGTGTCCTGAGTGAGGGCAATCAAAACAGACAGAGACAAAAATGCTTTACTGTCCCTCAGCGAGGTAGGCAAGCAAGCAGAGAAAGCTGAGAACCAGCTGTCCAGGGGGGTCCCTTTAAGCACAAGCCTCAGATAGCCTCAGGCAGCAGCCACACAAAGTAACTCCTGATCTGATGCCCTGCTGGAGCCGGTTTCAGCTGGCCTTAAATGCGATTCAGCATCCAATCAGTGTGGACGTGCTATTTTGAAATAGCAAAACGCTATTTTGAAATGCATTTTGTGTGTAGATGTGTTATTTCAAAATATCTTATTTCAAATTAACTATTTCAGAATAGATATTTCAAAATAATGCTGTAAAGTAGACATACCCTGAGAGCCTAGTGTCAGCTGTGTGCAGGGCAGAGGAGGCAAAAGCCTGCTGTGGAAGGAAGGTGGAGAACAGACGCTAGGTACTGACAGCTAGAGCCAGTTGTGTGCAGAGGAGATGGAAAGACTGAATATTAGAGCCAGGCCAGTTGCATGCTGGATGGAGGAGGCAGGAGCCATCTGAGCAAAGGAGATGGTGGACAGACCCAACACACTGAAGGCTAGAGCCAGCTGTGTGCAGGGCAGGTGGGCCGGGGAAAGGCGCTGCGGTCACTGCTGAGAAAAGGTGCAAGTGCGGTCCTCTGTGCAGCATGACAAGGGGGCCCAAGTGCCTTGCCCCCTCCACTGCAGTTTTGCCATACCCAGGCCTGTGGGAGGAGGGGAGAAGTTGGTGGGAGTCTCATATAGCAGCTGGGTCCCAACCTCAACCGTGTGCCCCAGGGAGGAGTTGGCAGATAAAAACTCTGGCAGAAATCTAAGGGGGGGTGGATGGATGTGACCCATATACACCGTCTTCATGCTTTGCCTCTGGAATTGGCACTTCTATAATGAAAAGTAATTTCGGGAGGGGAGGGAGGTGGGGGAGAAACCCACACACCAATATTGGAAATTTCTAGAAAACACCACCTCTATTCATGACTGAAAGTGATGTAAAATACATACAAAACCCACAAAAGACAGAATGAGTTTGATCTGATGATTCTATTGGCATTGCAGGTCTGATCATGCTTTAACTGAAATCAGTATGAACAGATCTGGTTCCTGAGAAAGCAATAATGTTAATGCTTCTATTCCAAGTGTGTCATTTCTTTTATATATAATTGAAAGGAGAAAGCCTTTTAAAAAAAGTATTGGTAAAATGATATAAAAGTTAAAATAAATTAGCTATCAACATTATTTTATTGTGTAATTTAATTAAACTTAATTTATATATGCTAGTATACTAAACATTCACAAAGCACTTACATATACAGTATGCTATGTAATATGAAATATTTTTTATTTTCCCTTTGCTTGCTCAATGACCCATTTATCTCAGTATAAATAAACTAACTGTAGAACATTTAAAATGTATAAATGTACCTTTTTACATTATGCATTTTAACACTTCCAATTACCTGGACTTATGCAACAAATATGTCATTTAATTAAAATGCTGTGAAACAGTAGTTCTGAAAGAATAGGATAATGTAACAGCATAGCAATTTAGTCTGCTGTAACTACATTTTGCTATATATTAGTCTTTAGAAAGTCCTGCAGCATCAAATCTTCAATATGTAGCTTTAATTCCCCTAAACAATTCTCCATCTTAGCTTTTCCAAGGTTGGGATAATGAAAAGTCTTACAACTTTTCATCTTGCTTGAAAATTGTAAAACCTTCTTCTTTGGATGTCTTGCAGTTGTTTGCAAATGTTGTTATTTTCCGGAATGCTTCTGCGAGACCTTCCCCAGTGATGGCACAACAAGGCTGTACATACCAGTTTCTGTCACTGCAATGTTTCTGCATGTTGAATTTCCTGGTTATTTCCTCAGCGTTCAAAGCACCAGGAATATCCTGCTTGTTAGCTAGCAAAACAACAGGCACGTTCTTTACAAATTCATTCTTTAAGATGCATTCAAATTCCTTCTTTGAAACTTCCAAGCGTTGCTTATCCGTGCTGTCCACAACGTATACCAGGGCATCTACATTTTCAAAGTAATTGCACCAAAATGTCCTCATTTTCTGTTGACCTCCAACATCCCAAACTGTTATAGCAATATTTTGCTGTGTGTCAATCATCTCCACATTAAAACCAATTGTTGGGAGTGTTAGGAAAACATCATTAAACTTTAACTTGTACAATAGTGTAGATTTCCCAGCTGAATCAAGTCCCAGCATTAATATCTGAGCTTGTTTGACTTTGGATTGTTTGGAACTCAGCAGACCCATTCTTACTGTAATTATCTTTATTGTGTCTTAAAGACGCTATTTCTTTTATCTTCTATTGGGTGACTTCTGTCAGAAAGCCCTTCTTTCTCCATAAGATGAAGCAAAAAGAGTAAAAGAAGAGGAAGTGGAAGAAGAGGCTTTGTGCTATGAAGAAAGAACAAGCCTGTGTGTATTTATACAGAATCCTTATCAACTTGATAATAAGCAAACAGTATTTTATGAAGGTGTAATGTTCACTGCCTACCTTCTGGGTGGAGCAGACATGAGAATATAACAATGAGTCACAAAGCCCAAAGGTTACATTATATCTAAACATGCTGAACAGTGGCAGTACTATGCAATACTTACATAAAATATCCTGTTCTTAATGTTTATGAACTATATATACGCACACTATAAAATATATAAACACATATAACAGTGCTCTAGACACTGACTAGTCAGTCCATTTGTACCACCACACAGCGCCCAGGCTTGGAAATCACTTGTTTTGCATTGCTAATCCCAAAGCTACCATTTACTATATGGCCATGGGAAAATCATTAACCACTCTGCCTCAACTTCCCCTTCTCTGAAAAATGGATAATTCTCACTTACTTACCTCCTGGTAGGGTGGGAGTGTTGCATTAATTTTTGATCACTACAAAATACAAGATGACAAAGTCCCTGGTCTGATCATGCCACCCCTCCTAACGTGAGTTCTCCCATGGCCTAGAATAAGACAATGAGTGATAATCAAACATAATGAGGGTTATAAGTACAACAAATACAATAATTAACTAGTTAATGTTTGTACAGCACATAGAATGTATATGACTTGATTTTATACAGTACTAAGCTCGCAACTCTCACTAATGTTAATAAGAGTTAATAAGGCTCTTGGCAACTTAAAGAAGCACCATAAAGTGTTATATGCAGGCTATTATTAATAGTTATTACAAGGAAAGAATTTTACAGAAAATTTTCAGATGCTAATTGCATTGGCCTTTAAAATCAGTATGGATGTGTGTCATCTCTTTTACATATTGTTTCACCTAAATTAGTTTCTAATGTAATTTATCAGGCTAGGTAGACCAATCAAACTGTAATAGTTTAAAGACACATATCTTTAGTTCTAAGTAATTTGCTACTTCTGCTTATTCATTATGTGAAGGCATCATCTTTGACTGTGACATCAGAATTGGTTGCTGAGGAAGTTATAGTCACAAACAGCAAATGTTTTAGTAATAGAAATGTAGCCGTGTTAGTCTGGTTTAGCTGAAACAAAAAACAGGACTATGTAGCACTTTAAAGACTGTCAAGATGGTTTATTAGGTGATGAGCTTTCGTGGGCCAGACCCACTTCCTTTTGATCTGAGGAATAAACCATCTTGTTAGTCTTTAAAGTGCTACATAGTTCTGTTTTTTGTTTCAGCAAATGTTTTATATTCGTGTCTAATTGTTTATAAAGGTGCTCTGCCTCCCAGATTTAGTAAACATACTTTGTAATACAGTCCTTGATAAGATGCAACTTTGCCTGAAATCATAATCTTTTGTTTGTTTCTTTATAATCACTCCCAGAGCAACAAGTCATGATGTTACTAACAATAAAGATTTTGTTTTTGCATCAATATGTTAGGAAATGGAACAAGGTGGGAATTGGAGGAAGTAGGGAAATCAAGATTAAATGTTTCTAAACAGTATGACATTCATATTTTTTCAGAACTTTCCATGGATCCACATAGGAATCAAGCATGGCATAAATCTAATTGACTTCAGTGATTTTCCCTGGTGCTTTTTTAAATGTGGTAATAATTTAAAACTATATAGAATGCCCAGAAGTATTATAAGTTAGGATTACCATTTATTTCCACCTAAGTAACATACTACACATAATCGCTACTTTTCTTTTACAAATGTTCACCATTTTCATTATTAGGGGAATTGGGACTCACCTGCAATCTCAAAACTGGAAGGAGCCTATTTTCCAAATCTGGTTCAGGTGCAGGCGAAGGTGACAGATATCTCCCAAGAACAGCTTGTGAGATTTTAGTGCTCTCAAATGTAACCTCAAATTCTAGACATAGGATAGCTGCATGTCAACCTGCAGTTTATATTCAATCCCAATAGCACCTCCTTGGCTCTAGGCTAATTATTATTTACATAGAAAATTCCAAAGCTTGGACCACACTCTTTTCAGATAATTCTGAGACAGATTTTGCCATGTGCTAAGCACCTGTTCTGAAGTCTGTTGTAGATATTAGGGTTCCCAGTACCTTCTGAGGATCAGGTGTATGTTTCCATTTAGAATTATACAATGTTGTGGGGCTTTGCTGTTTTCAAATAAATATTTGAATCTCCAATCCAAATAAACAATGTGGCTACTTCTAGACTGGGATGATTTTCTGCAAATGCTTTTAACGGAAAAGTTTTTCCTTAAAAGCATTTGTGGAAAAGAGCGACTAGATTGGCACGGACACTTTTGCGCAAAAGCACTTTTTGCGGAAAAGTGTCCGTGCCAATCTAGACACGGTTTTGCGCAAGAAAGCCCCGATCGCCATTTTTGCCATTGGGGCTTTTTTGCTCAAAACGATTCTCAGCTGTCTACACTGGCCCTCTTGCGCAAAAGCATTTGCACAAGAGGGCTTTTTCCCGAATGGGAGAGTCATTGTATTTGCAGAAGAACACTGACAATCTTACAATAGATCGTCAGTGTTCTTGCGCAAATTCAAAGTGGTCAGTGAAGACAGCTGGCAAGTTTTTCCGCAAAAGCAACTGCTTTTGCGGAAAAGCTTTCCAGTCTAGACGCAGCCTGTAAGTCCTTGTTTTCCCTCATAATTTCTTTAAAATTATAGAGCCACTCAAGGTGAGAGTCTTAAATTGCTACCGATGATTTATTTTGAGTAATTAACATGCAAGGCACCTATCGTTCTAGATATAATTTTAAATACATTTGTTATTATTGCAGATCCTTTTATAATCATCCATATGCCAGACACTTGTCAACAGGCAGTCAAAATAAAGACTGAAAGAAATTGCTCCCTCTCCCATCACTAACAGCTGTTATAATGCCCATTCTCTTCAAAACCTAGGGAGAGAGAGTAGAGAGGCTTTGTAAGTAGGCAACGATTTTAAAGTGCAGGAGCCTTTATAGAAAATGTCTAATTAGCAGACTAATAAAATTCACTAACACAGTGAAACAGGAACTTAAGCATAGCAATGCTAAACACTGCTACACCCAATTTCAGAATCATTGAGCTGGTGAAAGAGCCTGATTATTTGGCCTGGTAGTCACAGCATATAAAACTCTGTGTGGGTGACTCCTCAGGCAGTTTCTCTACTTCTGTGATAAATTATTCATCTCCAGTGGAACAGATTCAACACATGAAACTATCCCATAGTGCCGGGGTTAGGCCACTCCCCTGAGAAATGGCAGATACTCTGTTCAAATCTCTTCTTTCACTCAGGTGAAAAGGAGACTTGAACAAGTGTGAGTGTACTCACCACTGGGGTAAAAGTTATGAGTATCCTCCCCATCACAGCTGCTTGGGTGAGCTTGCATGCAAAGTCCAATCCTGTAAGCAAGCACCAAGGCTGCTTGCCGTATAGGGTTCCACAGCCAAGTTAGGTAAATAATTACCTATCTTCCCCTGGTTTGTGCATTACACTGAAGCTTACACATCCAGACACCTAGGCTATGTCTACACTCACGACTTCTTGTGCAAGAAATATGCAAATGAGGCTAAGCATGGACTATTGTGGAGGCTCATTTGCATACCTAATGAGCCGCCATTTTTGCAAAAGAGGCTCTGTAGCCAGACAGGAACCCCCCCTTGTAACATCCATTTTTGCTTGCCTGGAGCATACAGGGCACACAGAGCAGAAGGCCCAGGTTGCTGTGACCGTGAATGGCTGTAAACAGAGATACGCCAATTGCTGACCAAGAGGCTGCCAAGGAGTGCCCTTGACTCAAACCTAGATTGATATGAACACACATCCATCCGCGGGGGGAGGAATCTCTCGCCCAGTAAAAAAATGTCTAGTATTCACAATTTAGTTATCTCTCTCTTGCAAGTGTAAATTATCTTGAAACTTGTTTGTAAGAACTGGTGCCACAAAACGGACCAGTACAATTTGGCATCTTAAGATAAGAAAGAGGATACGGGCCCCCAGGGGTATATAGATGGGTCCAGCAGCGCATTTTCTCTGAGTGTCAATCTACCATCTATCTGCTGGTCGGGTTAGGTGTTTGATCTCCCGAGGTTCCAGAGGGGAAGCCCACCTCGTATTCGTCTTTCCTAGGAATTGAGAGACCGGCCCTGGCCTGACACGCTGGAGTCGAGA